ACATGGGGGCTCCCCTGGGAGAGAGGAGCTGGACACATGGGACTCACCTGGGGCAGAGAAGCCATGCACCAGGGGGCCCACCTTGGACTGAGAACCTGGACACCAGGGCACAATCTGGGGTAGAGTGTCCAGGTACCAGGGCACCACTAGGGATCCTGAGACGCCAGGCACCTTGTGTCAACCTGACAGAGGGTCTGGGCAATAGGTGGCTCACCTAGGACTCACAGGCCAATCACCAGGTGGCCCACCTGGGTTCCAGAGTAGCCAGGCAGGCACCTAGTGTCCCCCTGGGACAGAGAGGCCGGGCACCAGGGAACCCACCTGGGACAGTGAGGCTGGGCACTCCGGGATGCACCAAGAGGCCCATCGGGTACAGCGAGGCCAGAAACTAGGGAACCCATTGGGGCAGAGAGGCCTGGCACCAGGGAGCCCACCTGGGATTCAGAGAAGCCAGGCATCCAGTGTCCACCTGAGACAGAGACGCTTGGGACCAGGGAACCCACCTGGCACAGAAAGCCTGAGCACCATGGGGCCCACCATGGACAGAGGGGCTGGGCATCAGGTACCACTTGGGATCCTGAGACTCCAGATACCCTGTGTCCACCTGGGACAGAGAGGCTGGGCATAGCCTGTTGACCTAAAACAGAGAGACCGGGCACCAGAGAACTCACTTTGGAAACCCGGGAACCAGGGGCCCCACATGGGATCCAGAGAAGCCAGGCACCCAGTGTCCACTTGGGAATGAGAGGCTTGGGACTACAGGGTTCACCTGGGGCAGAGAGGACGTGCACCAGGGAGCCCACATGGGACAGAGAACCTGAGCACCAGGGGGCCCACCTGGGGCAGAAAAGTCAGACACCCAGTGTCAGCATGGGACAGAGATGCTGGGCACCAGGGAACCCACTTGGACAGTGAGGCAGGGCATTAGGGGATTCACCAATGACAGAGTAACCGGGCACCCAGTGTCCACCAGGGACAGGGAAGCTGGGCTCCAAGGAACCTACCTGGGGCAGAGAGGTCAGGCACCAGGGGACCCAACTAGGACAGAGAGGCCGGGTTCCAGTGGGTCCACCTGGGATAGAGAAGCCCGGTACCAACAGGCCCAATTGGGACAGAAGACCTGGACAAGAGGGAGCCCACCTGGGACAGAGAGGCCAGGCATAAGCCGGCCCAACTAGGGCAGACAGGCTGAGTACTAAGTCGGACACCTGGGATCCAGAGAAGTCAGACACTCAGTGTCCACCTGGAACAGAGAGGTCAGGCACCATGGAAATCACCTGGGACAGAGAAGCTGAGAAAAGCGGGTTCACCTGAGGCAGAGAGTCCCGTTACTAGGGGCCCTACCTGGGACAGAGAGGCTGGGCACCAGGGGACCTGTCTAGATTTCAGAGAGCCAGGCAGCAGAGGGCCCACCAAGGATCCAGGGAAGCCATGCACCCAGTGTCTACTTGGGACAGAGAGGTTGGACACCAGGGAACCTACCAGGGACAGAGAGGCCGGGCACCAGGGGATCCGCATAGGATTCAGAGAGCCAGGCAGTAGGGGGCACACCTGGGATCCAGGGAAGCCAGGCATCCAGTGTCTACTTGGGACAGAGAGGTTAGACACCAGGGAACCCACCTGGGATAGAGAGTCTCCGCACCAGGAGTCCCACCTGCCATCAACAAAACCTAGGCAGCCGGAGTCCACATGGGACAGAGAGGCCAGTCACCCAGGAAACCTCCTGGGACAGATGCCAGACACCAGGGAACACACCTGGGACAGAGAGGCCAGGCACCAGGAGGCCCTCCTTGGACAGAGAGCTCAGACATCAGGGGGCCCAAGTGGGGCAGAGAGGCCCGCCAGCTGGGAACCCATTTGATGCAGAGAGGCCAGGTACAAAGGGGTTCACCTGGGACAGAGAGGCCGCACACAAGGAACTCACCTCGGGCAGAGAAGCCATGCACCAGGAGGCACACTTTGGACTGAGAACCTGGGCATCGGGGGGACAATCTGGGGTAGAGTGTCCAGGTACCAGGGCGCCATTAGGGATCCTGACACGGTAGGCACCCTGTATCCAACTGACACAGAGGGTCTGGGCCAGAGGTGGCTCACCTAGGACAGACAGGCCAAGCACCAGGTGACCCACCTGGGATCCAGAGAGGCCAGGCAACGAGTGTCCACCTGGGACAGA